TATTCCCCCTCTCCCATCCCTTCCTGGTCCTGTCATCTAAGCTAAGACAAGAGAATAGGAAAGAGGACTGAAAATCCTTTTTAGTTCCAAGGATCTAATCCCCAAAGTCCTACTATCTCCAACCCCTTTCTCTCCACACGCACGAATACACATACACCTGTACACATATATATCCCTTCCTGAAGGTATGCCGAATTATATGCATTATGTGTGCTCTTCAGCATTAACTAGAACCTTCCATATTTATTCCATATAAATTCCATATTCCAAATAAAATTCCATATTTATGGAATTAAATATAATTCCATATTTAAAATTATGAAAGTGTAGGAATATAGATATGCAACACTATACCTACGATCAATCCTTGATTGCTGCAGATGAGAAAAATGGGGGGAATTGGGGGAGAAAAAAGGAAATTTAAAACTATTTTCATCCCAGGGTTTATCACCCCCTTTTAGCAAAGTAGTTATCAGGCGTTATATCAAATGATTGTCGGTCATTTATTTCCTGCACTTAGGAGGGGTAAGACTGCTTATTCCTCGGGGGCGGGAGCGGGGCGGGGGGGGGGGGGAGAGCTTAAAAGACAGTCAGTTGGAAGGAATGAAGTAAAAAGTATCCTGGGTAATCCATAAACTGGCCAGTTAGTCTTAATAAATCAAGAGGTGGTTTTGCATTAGGGAATTAGAAATGTCATTTCCAACTTGTGATTTCTGCAAAATTGGATGCTACCCAAGCTGGATTTATAAGCAGATAAAGCCAGAATTAAATGGAGGCCTGGGGGAACATCACCTATTCTGAATCACTTCTAAATTTCAGTAGAATAAAAGGTTGGTTGAGATGCAGTTTTTCAACCTCTGTGCACTGGTAAAATACTAGACAGAAAAACTCAGAGTTCTACTAGAAGAACAAAACAGCCCATTAACGGAAGAGAATATTTATATGCAAAGTTAAACATCACAGGAGATTTTCTGAAATACTCGAACTTAAAAGAAGGTAATACACAAGATGTATTTTAAAGCTTTCTCACGTAAGTGTAGGTAAATATATTTCATGTGTCATCTGTATTTCCGAAAGAAGACCAATGAGAAATAAGCTATCATTAACAGTACTTGTAAAGGTACATATCTCCAAATCTCTCCATTAAATTTTTATTTAGCCCTATAGCATTAAAGAGAAAATATTTAGTTTTTTCACCAACCTCAGTTACCAGAAACATACCACACTGTTTGTGATCAACACTTCAGTTTCACGGAAGAAGCCAAATCTAATCTTAGGGAAAATGAGAGGTTATGGAAGGAGAAGCTGAGGCTTTGCTATGGAAAAGACAAGGCAGGAAACATTTGTCATATTATGTCCCCTACCATCCAACCACTAGAAACACCAATTACATATCTGGGCCTTGCTATTTTTTTTAAGCAGTGTTATCATAGATGTTTTCATATATCCCAGTTAAAATGTAATTGGGCATATTAACAGAATGAAGGAGATAGAAAAGTTAGTCCCTTCATACTAAATTCAAGAAATCCCACAAAACATGATAAAGTTAGGATTGGTCTCCGCCTCTCAGTCCTTCATCCTGAAATGGGTCTTACAACCATTCCAAAAAAATGAAACAAGTCTACCTAGTTTACCATACAAATAAATCCTAAGTGGTTCCAAGACAGGTACAGCAGCCAGGGTTAACAGTAGCTAATAATGACCATGCTTTTGAATGAGAGGGTGGATGAGCGGGCCACCGAGTTCCAACTGTCACCGTTTAGACAAAATGTGAGTTGTCAAAGAGTTTTTCAAAAAGTTGGCATGTGCCTTTTCTCTACAGGATTTTCCTTAGTGTTTGTGCCTAAGTAAAAATTAATGAGGCATAGGCCCTATTAATGGTTATCAAATATATTTTTATTTTAGGATTTTGTTTTCTAATAAAGGGGAAGAAAGAGTGTAGACAGAGTTGTTTATGATGATCTCCCCCATACTAGGTGTGGCCAAAAGTAGGGAAGGTTGATGTTCTCTCAACCTTCTGGCTATATTTTGAAATACAACATACAGTTAAAGGATATATTTGCTCTCTATTCCAAACTGGATGCAATTGATTTTAACTGACTAAATTATCTAATCTCTGCCAAGAATTTTATTTCATTAAGAAAATGATATTATAGAGCATCTGAGATCATAGAGCAGACTAAACATAAAGCCAAAGGAGTTCAGAGAATGCTCCACAGTGAAGGTTTGATTATTTGCAGATGGAATATAGAAGGGAAAAAAAAAAATCAGCTTGCAGGCATCAGCCTAACCAATCCTGGTATCACTGCTGCCTCCACAGTAGCACAAAGCCAAGAAAATACCTGATCTTCTAAGCCACAACACTTTTTTTTAAGGTACTAATCACTTTTCTCCCTAGAAAGTAATATTTAACTGCCACTATCCAAAACAAAAGGAAAAGGGGAAATGTTGGTACCACAATAGGCTCTAGCATGTCAACTGTCACTGCTGACATGATTTGGCTAGTGGTCAAGCATTCACCAAGGAACTAATTTAAATCAATCTCCTTTGGGAAAGGCAATTGTTTGGTATGCGCAACAATTGGTGTAGAATCAATCAGTGGACGTGAGATCAATTAAAACCAGCTTAAGTTTGTGAAGAGGGACAATTCACACAACCTGAGTTAGATCTCTATTCATTTCAATACTAGCACAATACAATCCTTAAGCTTCCTTGCAAAGCAGAAAAGCTACTATCACCCTATGCTGTCTAGCCAGGCCTTCAAGTAGTTCCACTTTTAATTAAAAACACAGTATATCCTTTGTTGGCACAGATAGTGTGGTCACTTTTAAAAACCGTAGTTATTTTAGCCAGAAACTTGGAATTTGGGAAGGGACATCTGTTAAGAAAAGGGGGAAAATGCAAACTTTGATAAGAATTTGGTGGTGGTTGTTTTTAAACACAACCTTACCAATTTACACATAGTCGAAAGTGGTGGAATTTTATTAAATCGAAATCCGAAAGGTTGGTTTGGCAAAAGTGACTATTGCACACTTTAGAACTGGGTTTCTCAGTGTCAGCACTTGAGGGTAATTGCTAGGAGATTTTGCCAAAGCAGCTTTGAAATGAATAGGTTTTGTGTCAGATACCTAAGGCGGCCCAGGGCCAACCTGAGAGATGGCGCTGCCGGGAAGAGCGTGCAGTACCACTTCTGGCCGCAGGAGTGCTGCAATGCCCTCCATCAAACAGCACCGCCGGGTCAAGTTCTACCCAAACGCTTAGGGTAGATTCCGCCACGCCCGGCCACGAGGGGACAGGCAGCGGGGAGCAGGAAGACCTCACGAAGTGGCTCGGCCCGCTCATAAACAACCACTTGGCAAAGCGTCGTGGGAATTTCTATCTTTGCACAAACTCTAAGCATCTCCGTTTTTCCCCCCCAACCAAGAAGCACCTTGTGCTGTCAAGAGGAGATAAATCTTCTCCAAACACTTTTGACCACTGTGTAACCAAAAATTGCCAGATCCGAGTGTAATGCCTCAAAAGAAATTACCAAGTGGAGAAAGGAGCAGGTGGGGAGGAGGCCTGGAGGAGGAGATGGAGAAGGACGTTGTCAAGACTCCTATCAATATTAAACTTTCACGGCCTCTGGGAAGAAATTTCTCCCTAGCATTTTCATGCGAAACGATTTCTGAAAATACGCACTTTCCAAATGTCAGACGTGAGAAGAAAAAAAAAAGAGAAAAGGGGTAGACTTTTTAAACATCTGTAGCGTCAATGGGAGAGCAGAGGTTACTGCAGTCGCACACCACCGGTTATCCCGAGCTCCGGCCGCCAATCTCCAGCCCCGCGGGTAGGTGACAACAGCTTAACGAGGTCCTAAAAAGCTATGAAAAGTTAGGGAGAGAAGAGCTCTCCCCGAAATCTGGGTGCCGGGCCGAGATTCCGTAAAACGAGTTCTAAACCTATCATAGGTCGAGTGAAACTTTTATATCCCAGAGGAAAGAAAGGAAAAAAAGTCAAAATCTGTTAACTTCAAGACAAATTCTAACCGTGCACAAGTCCAAATTGCTCGAGGAAGACAGTTCCCCAGGGGCTGCTGGGCACCTTCCATGCGCGGCAATGCGCGGACTTGGTTTAAATTCCCCAGAAGAGCCTGCCTTCCCCTAAAATGCAGCTGGATTAGCTGCAGCCACAGCAGGACTCGGAAATAGGCGCACAGTAAATCTGCCTGAAAGCTAGTTCTCTGAAATCTTTCTGGAGGCTTCCACTTGCCTTCCCCGCAGCGCACACAAGTGATGGAGATTGAGGGAGCGGTTAAAAAGCCAGAAGTGAATTTCATTGGGAACAGAAAGCGTATGGAGAGAGCAAAGTCAGGCCGGTCCCCAAAACATCACTCTGCACGCCAGCGCTCCCCAGAAAACCTGCGTACAAGTTGCTGATCAGTGCAAAAAAGTTCAATAAGTCATCCCACGCAGTCTTAGGTTCCAGAGACATTAATTTTGCCCCTTCCCTATTAAATGCAGGTCCTCCACCTTGACTTGGTACCCCTCCCCAGCTCTCAACTCGCTCTCCCCCAGTCCCCCCCCACACCCACACCCACACCGCTAGGCCGTGTTCAAAGCGATCCGGGGCGCACGTGAGTGGGAAAGGTAGAGATGCGCTACAGGGAAGACGGTTAAGAGGACTGGAAAGACAAAGAAGAACAAGGAACAACGGATGCCGGATAAGAAACGGGCGCGAGAAAGAGGGGTTCAGGAGTAGAAGCGCGGCAGCGAACGGGGGTACGGCCCGCACCACTTGGCCCGGAGCGCCCGCGGGGCTCACCCGGCTCTCCGCACGTCTCGCTCCGGCTCGCAGCGCCTTCCGAGCCCAGAAAAGACCGTGTTCTGCCGAGCTCAGGGCCCAGGAGTGCAGAGCGGCGGCGCGCGGGAGCGGGGAGCGGGCAGGCGGGCACCGTGCGCCCTGCGGGGCCTCGGGAGCCCCGGCGCGACCCCACGCACCTCGCGCGGAGGAGGACTCACCTCGCTTGCTGCGTCTCCATCGGTTGCCTTGGCAGTGGCTGTAATCCATACAGTTCAGGATGATGAGGGCAAAGGAGAAGAGGCGAAACTGCATCTGGGCGGCCGGGCGGGGGAGAGGCGCCTCTCAAAGTCGGGGAACTGGAGAGCTCATCCGAGGAGCCGGCGCCCACCGCGCAGCCAAGGAAGACGCAGAGGGCGAGGGGCCACTAGCCCGGGGGCCGCGGCGGTCAGCTCGGCGCGGTCAGCATCGCTCACCCCTTGAACCTGGGAGACGAGGAGGAGAAACAGCGTGGAGGGAGCCCCGGGGAGGCAGCTGCGTCTACGCGCGTCCCAACTTAAGAAGGGGAGGGAGGGGGCGCGAACCCACCGGCGGGCACGAGCCGCGGGGCGGTTTAACCCCCAGCGCACAGCTGCCGGCGACGAGGAGGGGAAGGTGCTTTACAATCAATGAATTAGCAGCCTCTGCGCAGCTACAGGCTCCCACCCGGGGAAAGCAGGCGCGTTGCGCGGCCGGTCCCGGGAAAGGAAAGCGCTCCAAAGGCATCAAGGGCGCAGGGTTCAAGGAGCCCCCCGAGGTCCACGGTCCCACGGCGGGTAGCCGAGCGCCGCGGCCGCGGTGGCCGGGCGCGGGTCGCCTACCGTGGCACTTACGGCTCGGGCTGCGCGCGTGCCTAGGCGCGGCGCTCCATCCCCGGCCGGGGCAGCAGGTCGCCCCGCTAGCACGTGGGCTGGGGAAAAGTTTGCCGAGCGGCCCCGGGAGCGCCCGCAGCCCCCGCGGGTTGGCAGCGCGCCCCCGGCGCCCGGGGCCGGCGGGGCCCGAGCCGGAGCGGCGGGCGGGCGCGTCGGCAGCCTCGGGGATGCTGCGTCCCCGCCGGTGAGTGCGGTCCTCGGGCGACCCGCGCGACCGCACTCACTCTCGAGGTCCCTACGCAACTGTGCGGCCTCCCGGCTCCCACTCCGCAGCCCCCCGCCGCGAGGATTTCTCCCTGTCCAAGCCGTGCGAGACGGAACGGTCCCGCGAAGCCGCAGGGATGTGGCGAGCGCACTTTCCGACGGAGATGCAGCCCGGCGGGGCTCGGGATGCTTCTATAAGTAGGTGGTGCTGTGGTCCAAGGCATCTGTGTCAGGCTGCCTCGGAGTTCCTGGGTCCTAAAGCCAGAAACTCTCGGGTGTCCCTGAGGTCCTAAAGAGCGCTGACAGCGTCCAGCGAGCCCAACCCCAGCAAGTCCCCTCCGGGCTTTCCTGGAGTGCGCGGCCGAACCCGAGAGCGGCGGAGCGGGGGGCGCCGCGGGTCTGCGCTGGGCGGGGGAGCCCGGCTGACTTCACACCCCGCCCCCACCCGCGTCTATTTCGGGCGCTCGGGGAACCGGTTGCCACCCCAGCCCTGACCTTGCCGCGGGAGGATCTGACTGGTGGCCTCTCCTAGACCATCCTTCCCGGGCTCCCCGCCGGGGATCGCTGCTTCCGACAGGCGGAGTTTGAACTTGAGCCGCATCCCGAAGACACCACACCTCTGCCACTTTTTAGTTGACGTCTCGGCTTTGTTTTATGGGAAAATCTGTTAGCGCGGCTGAAATTAAAGCGAGCCCTCAGTGTAGGGAGTGAAAGGGGTATTTCCAATAGCTTTTGCCTATCCTCGGAAGTGTTATTTCTTGACTTCGTTTCCTCTCCAGAAAAATTTGGAATGACTTGTGGTCCTCTGCCTGCAGGACTCAAGAAATTGGGACCTTGCTGCTTTAAACAAAAGTTCACTTTCCACTCAACCATTTCTCAGTCATAATCTTCCTCTCTCCACCCTCAAAGACTCCCTGATTTAAACCTCTGGGTGCTCTAGTTTGGGGGACTACTGTTTAACAAAGTATTACATGGCATACACTTGATGCTACTGGATTTTTTTGTTGTTGTTGTTGCTACTTAATTTCATTGTGTTGAAATCTTCTGACCTCATTTCTGTTCAAATGAGTGTAATTACTCCTTAGGCAAAGGTAAGATTTTTTTTTCCTGCTAACCATGGCAGTATATTTGTAGATATGACCATATGCTAGCATTTCATACCCCTGAAATTTCCTTCTCTATGCTTTCAAGTGTCAAAGATTTTCAGAAATTTAGAAACTTGAGATAATCATGTTGAAACAATAAGACTATTGGGATAGTCATGTTTTTTAACTGTTCCATTATTGTCTATCCATAACTATTTTTACAGACATCACTATTACGTAACAATATTTATGTGCTAAGAATTTCAGTGTTGTTTCCTTTATGCATGCCTGAGAACATCCAAGATAAATCTGAGTTGAGGTCACTGGTCCCATTTCCTAGATAAGAAAAATCAGCCCCTGAGACTGGCCCACAGGGCACAAATAGAGTTGACAAAACACATTGCAGGAATAGTAGATCTGTTTCTCAGCTTTCAGAGTCTTTGATTTTTATCACAGAATTGGAAGCAATTGGAAACATTTCAACTTAGGGAGTGGCCTAGCATTTAGCATGATGGCTCGATATTCCAGTAGATATTCCTCCCTCATCATAAATACCACTCATATGAGGCACACACCAAATTTATTGTACTTCTAAAGAAGTTAAAAGCATACGAGAATAAAGACTTCTCTAATAAAGCTCTCTGTCTTTCTGTACAACTTTGAGACCCCTTCAAGATCAGTGGTTATCAGTGTCTTTTAGAACATTTATTAATTTTTTTCTTTTAAAATATTTAAGGGCAAAATGAGCACGAGACTAAGTAGATATAACTCTACCACTAACCACCTAAGGTCACTATTGGCAGTTTTCTGCATCTTAGTTTCCTTGGCAGTATTCTCAGGAAATTAGAACAAAATCTCTTCCATCTCTGCCATGTTCTGGTTGGCAATCAATTTTCTATTTCTATCAAGAAGTTTTTGACTCTATGAGGTCTAACCCAGATGAAGACAAACTCATCATTGATAGATTTTCAGTGTAGAAAGATGCCATTCATTAGTTAAATTACAGGCCACTTTCAACCTTCTGCCTTTGAAGATTACTTTCCATAATTTCAATCGGTTAGGTTGCACAGTTGGAATTTTTTAAAGCCCGAGATCCTTTTCAGTTTAGTGAACAACTAGATCAATTTCATTTAAAAAAAAAACAGAATTTTAACAGCACCATTTCTGCTGAAGTTTGGTTGTTGCTCTTAAGAATAGGCTCTGGGAGAAGAGCCTTAATTCCTTTGTTCTTATGCTCGCTCCTGGTCTGTCTCTGCTTTTTAGAGGATACCACTGAACCTCCAAACTCTGTCACACTTAGTTCTTGGGGTACGTAGAGGCCCACATCCTTCATCTCTTAGAGGCTACTTTGTTGATTTTGTTGATAATGCAGACTTTTTTTTTTTTTTTGCTATTCACTGAATATTTTTCCTGATTTCAAGAACCCAGGAATGTTCTTGCTACTAAAAAATACAACCCTTGCAGATCCTAAACTATCATTAACTTTAATCCCATATTTCTGCTTCCTTTCATTTCTAAACTCTGAATGTGTTGTTGTTGAGCCTCACAGCTCACAGTTTCTCCATCTTGGAGACTCAGTGGACTTTTTCATCAAACTGAGTTTAAATGGTGGTTTCATTAAACCAGCTTTATAAATAGATATGTGCCTGGTGTCTGTTTACAGAGAAACATACTGGTGAGATTGACTTCATACCACTTCGTGGCGATAGAGAAGGTCAAGTAAGGGCAGAATTAGGGAATGATGTTATAGATGGAAGGCAACTTGTGCACTTTACTTTCCCAGGTTGTAGCTCATTGATACAGCTAAAATTCAATCCTTAAAAAAGAAGATATAAGGAAAAGGCTCTCTGCCAGCCACCCAATTCTCCTCCTCAGAGACAACCAGTTATTTGGGTATAACCTTCCAGGTTTTGAGTATACTTCCAGAGATATGTTGTGCTTATCAAGAAAACGTGAATGTGTGTGTGTGTGTGTGTGTGTGTGTAGATACTATATATAATCTTGCCCCTATCTTTTATGCAACTAGTGGAAAACAGTATTCGTTAATCTGCACCTTGATTTTCTTTCATGTATCTTAAAGTTCATTTGGTATCAGCTCTTAAAAAACTTTCCTTTTTATACAATCACATATAATTTCATTGTATGGTTGTATGTAGCCAGCTCCCTACCAAAAGCCATTTAAGTTGTCTTCATCTTTTTCTGTTACAAGCAATGCTTCAGTTAACCTTTTCATGGTTCATTTTACCTTTGCATTATAGATTCCTAAAAGTAGAAAAGTTGGATCAAATAGTTGGAAGTGTGTGTGTGCATTCTTAAAGTTACCTCCCGCAGAGGTTCTATCAAATCAGTGTATAAAAGTGACCATCTCTTTATATACTGGCCAACATGTTTGCATCTTTGATATTCCTAGGCAGACAGTGATACCTCAGTAGTTTTAATTTTTATTTCTTTTAAATAAAATTATGTGTTTTTAATATGCTTAAGTGATTCTGATTTCCTTTCCCACGAATTCTCCAAAATTATCTATGTTCTTTTTTTTTTCTCTATTCTTGGTCATTTATTTTTGCTTTGTAGAATATATATATATATATATACACATATATATGATATGTATCTCTGTATATATGCACATATATACACACACATAATCTTGTGATTTTCTTACAAATATTTTCTCAAGTTTATGATTCTTCTCTTTCTTTTTAATGTATATAATGACCATGCTGCAAACTTTAAAATATTTTTGTGCAGTTAAATTTGTCAGTGTTCTCTTGTATAGACCTCTGTTTGTGTCCTACTTGTAAAAACTCTTCCCCCTGCCATTTTAAAATTTTCATTTGAAAGTTTTCTAATACATTCTTTGATGTTAAAAAACCATATTAGTGATTTTATGACTGCCTGATGTGGCTACATTATAATAGATCTAAAATTTTCTGAATCTTTCATATTTGTATTCACAGACTTGGCAGACTTTGGCTCCAACTCTCATTTTCAGTAGCTAATTTATTTAGAGTTCTCTTGTCTCTTACGCTATCAGATATTCATATTCTCAGATTTAAAGCTTCCCACATTTTGTTACTTGTTGTTGAAATTTGTTAATGTTGTCTTGCCCGTCTAGAATTTATCCATTAATTACATCAAAACAAACTATGGCATTTTGGCCATTGCAACAATATTGATAGTATTTTTTTTCCTGTTAAATGTAAGCTGAATATTTATTTTACTGGTTGTATGTCAGAGCCTATGTTCATTTATTATATTGTGTATGAAATAATTAAATTAATTAATATGAAAGATCCTCAGCAGGGTCACTGACCAGTCCTTATCCAAGCTAATTTGTTGTTTTTAAAAGCCGCACCATAATCACTTATTTAACATTTGAAAAATGTGTAAATATTTGACTTCTCCAAATGTTAATACTATGTTCTGCCACTTGAGAACTCTTCTGTAGACTGATGTGATAAGGCTGATTTCTCATTTTGCTCTCCATCTTCATGGAAGGGATCCAGGAGGCTCTCTCTTCAAAGGAAATCCAGTTCAGACCAGCTCATAAGAGAAAACTCAAGATCTGACTGAAGTTTTACAATTATTTCCTTTATTTAATCTTGTGTGCTCTGAACTCTTTTGAACTAAAGTAATATGTGTCATTTCCATTCTTTTCTGTGTGAATGTGGTTGCTGGAAGGAAGTGTTACTACACTTGGTTAATGACAAGAGCCACAAAATGATTCCCAGCTATTTTAAGACTTAGACTCAGTTTCATAAATATGAAGAGAATGTTTTGTTTGACACTCAATTAGCCAGGCTAATTGGGATAAACAA